TATATTTTCACATTGCACAGAGGTTTCGAAGCATTTTGATATTACCTTCCTGGCAAAGCAGTTTGGACATATTGTTGAGTGTTTCAAAGGGAAAAGATACTTAGTTCAAAAGATTTACTCCTTCATTTCATGGCATGGATCTCCACATGTCTGTCTGTGGGTCCATATGCTATAATAGCAACATGACGGCAAGTGGTGCTGTTTGCTATTAGCCGATTTTTCGATTTTGAATTTCTGCGTTGGAATCCACTTTAACTTGGCTTATTTGATGCAGAGGTTCATTCCCAGAACAGACTTGAAAAACAAATCAGTTTAATATTTGTTCACAAAACTGTACTCTGCATGCATATCAGCCTGGCGTGGAGGGTGTTCCTTTTACTGATTGGCTTATTGGGATTTGTCGTTTCCGTGGAAACTTTGGAGACTGGTACCTTGAAATTCTTTGCAGGGTATAAATGGTTCCTTATATCATCACTTTCCAGAACATTTTGTATGGAGGTGAGTCATAAGTCAAGTCTTGATGATTGTTTAGGAAAAAGTTTTTGGTGTTATTAGAATGGGTCAGTAAACAAAACCTAAATACATTCAGTAATTCTTTTCTATCTAGATTTTGTAAACATGATGACGTCACAAATTCCCAAAAATTCTGATACCATTTTTGTCTTGTTACTTGTCGATGCTACACAATCATACTAACTTCAATAAATCTGAAAGTGGACTAAACACTGAAAACTAGAGATGTTCAAATATATTTGCAGCCTTTTTAATTCTTCTTATAAACTATTACCCTGAACATACTTCAACAAATCTTTTATAATTTCTACAATTTAAATGAAGTTCTATGTTCAGTAGAACCACAATTTGTTTCAGTTGTCCTATTATTTCAATGTTATTATAACATTAATTTTGTTGAGAAAATAAATATACCTCTTTTATAACATGCTCCTCTTCTATCAGGAACACATCTGTTTGGATTCAGCCGCCATATAGCTGGAATATTGCTGAGTGCAGCGTTAAACAACAAACAAGAATAGAAACAAAATATATACTGAGAAAAAAACATAAAGGATCACTGGAAAATTCAAACGTTCCTTTATTATTTTCCAGTTTTCATTACCACAGCGCTATTCAAAGCTGGTGATGAAAACTGGAAAATATTAAATGAACACTTTAATTTTCCTGTGATCCTTTATTTGTTTTTCTCAGTATATTTCAGCGGAAAGGGAGGAAGCAATATAACCAATTTTTACAACTGTTTTCAACTTTTGTTAAGTGTTATTTCTTCTTGTTAGGTTCACCAACCAGTGTATGAAGCCCAAAACGTAATGGATGAAATATATTGAATCCAAGGGACAGACATTAATAGTAACTGATAAAATTATGTTCAAATATTTTGTCTTGTAAAGTATGTGAATACTATATTGATGAAAGAAGAGATCAGTTTAAATTCAGTGAGTTTTATTGATGTAAAAGCATTTTTTGTAGTTATGATTTGAAAGATGGATGATAGTCCACAGTTTTCTTAAGCCAAAATTCACTTCAGTATTTTGGATGGGTAGATGTAAAGTGTTTTGTAGTTAGCTGAGTGAATGTGAGATTTATTGATAGTAAATTCTAGAGCTGATGCATAACTCCTCTTTGTGCTCCTGGTATTTAAACCTGGGTCACTGACAGGATGAAATTGATGTGTACATCACTCACAGGAGAAAGTTCAATAGTTTTAATAAGGGCACCACGGAAGTGACTTACTGTGCCAAATTGAAGCTTATTAGACAAGCCAGTGTACAAAGCAATGCATTAGGCCTTTGATACAAGAACATTATGGCATGGTGTCTGTATCCTTCAGTCTTCACAGCTATCAAGACACATTTTCATGGCTGAGCAATCCTGAAGATGATGATTTCACAGTGGCTTTGAGTGCATAGGAAGAGGCTGGCTGACCTCGGTGGTTTTTATCAACAAGTGGGCCAGGCCACATGGTCCATCCTGGCTGGGAGGAATATAAACACCATCAGTTTAGATGCTGACTGAGCTGGAGGTGTGTAGATCTCGCAGCCAGCACAGACAGAGGGGCCGGGCTTCAAGTTACACTGCACACTCCCAGGGCTAGCAGACTGTTTCCCCCTCAACTGCCTTCTCCATTATAACACCTCCTCACTATAACACTGTTCCTGTTATGTAAGCCTGTTTTAACTGTCTTGTTATTGTTGCCATGCATTGTGTACCTTGATGCAAGGTGGTGGAGACTTAAGCTAATTTTCTAACCCGGCCCAGAGGAAAACGAGAAGCACGTGTATCGCAATAATGGGGAAGTAACAGTGGAGTTGAGAATGAAGCGTGGAAATCCCAAGACGTTGTTTATTTTCTTTTATAAGAACAGGGTTGACTCCTGAAAGAATTTCAGCTGCCCTGTAGACTGAGCAATGCTGCACATATGGTTGCAGTTTGGATGGAAAAATTGTGGTAGAAAAAGTAAATGAGATTTTGGAGTGGTGGAGACTGGCTCCTGGCAAGTCCCAGTTGTGGGTAAAGTCTTCAAATTGCTTGCTTCAAGCTAAAAACGTTGATTTTTATTCCATCTGCCTGTATTGCAAGTAGCCTGGAATGAGTGAGAGATCGTGTGAATATGTATATATATGAGAGCTGTGTCTAGGTCATCAGACGGGACTAGCTACAGTGAGCCTGCCTGCCCGCCTGCCTGCACAAGGGAGGAGGGAATATCTTTAAGAATCTCTCTCTTCTCACTTTCATTGTCTTGGGCGTTGCTAACAGTCGGCAGGAGTTTTTCTCATCGCCACTGGCTGGCAGTGTGTATGAGCACCTCATTATGCCAGCAAGGAAGCTTTTACTTACATCCTCCAGCACTTTCCAGTTTGCTTCTCATTAACAGACGACATTTACCAATTTAGCCAGCAATTGAGTTCAGAACAGCAGGGCTGGGATTTGCTTTTGTGTTCATGTTGGACGTGACATTATTGTGAGCTTTTGTCCGCTTCTCTCTTCAACAAATGACACATAAAAGTTGGACAGAGTTGGCTCTGGCGTTTTTCCTGTGTTGCAAGTTGGGTGTACAAGGCACAGATGTGAGAATATTTCACAGATGAGAATTATGTGACACTGTTGACGTCCATCACTTAACTGTCGTTGTGGATGTATTATGCAGGACTTTTGGAAATCATTTCATTGAAATTTTTACAAAGATTTTCATGACTCATCCTACAGGCACCAGTTAATTAATCTGAGCAGACGCATCATCTGTTACATTTAATGCTTGTTTACTGGTGAACAGTTTCATTGAGAATCATTTCAAGAGGCTTGGTGGACATTTTACGCAAGGCCTACAAAGTGTCAGTGAAGTAACTCAATCAAAAGTTGAAAAGTAAGTGGTAGGATACGTCGGTGCTTGGTAGCGGGGGTGATCGGAAGTGACACGGAAAAGAGGAAACCGACTACCGGTCAACACATGAGACCTGATAGATTGTGCCGATGTGTGTTTAGCTTTGAGACCACCAGCAATCAGATGCAAAGTACCACTGACCCCTTGGGGATAAGAGCTTGCTAATTCTAGTGTCCACTTGAGCAGCTGATAGCTGTTACATCACAAGTCCCTTGGATAACGGATTAATCGGAGAGATCACAAACCTTTTGTTGCATCGTTTATAGCTCTGTTATTGTGGCAATGGTGTCTTGAACTTGAAGGATAATTCTCATCCCATGGTGCTCATCACAAGGATAAGTACATTTTGAAGCTAATTGTTTCAGTTTGGAAAAGACAGCTGATGTTGACAAGTTGGTGAATTCATATGCTGCTTGGATTGTTCAGCGCTGCTTGGATTGTTCAGCGTTGATACTGACATACTTGCTGTTTACTTGGGTGCTATTTTGCTAAGCTAGATCACAGCTGCCTTTAGACTGACAGAAGCAGGTTATTTTCTCGATGAAGTGTACAGACCCCTGTCAGCAAGCTGTCGCCCCTACACCAAAAGTCATGTGTAGTTTGTGTATAGAGGAATACACCGGCTATGGTAAGTGAGAACATGCACGTTCATTCATGAAGTGGACGGAGTGGATGTACCTAACATTAACTAACATACCATTATGTTTAATATGTCACTATTATCTTAAATGCATGTATATGAGGCAATCGTTGAACCAGATTTAAATTAGTATTTCATTGGGGCTTGTTTTAGTATATGATTAATGCATTTTAAATATTCAAAAAAAGATGTCAGATTTTGTTTTATGTGTCTTTTGATTATTAGAATGAGTGAGTGAGTGAGTGAATATTGCTTTGGTACAGGTGACCTCATTGCTCTACCTCCAATGTACGCTTGTACAATATCAGAATCAGGATGGAAACTTTGTGAACAAAATCAATTCAATATATCTGTTTTTCTTTATAATGGCAAACAGAATATAAATTCTGATCAGTTGGCTAAATAGTTCATGCTATTGATTTTGGTGTCATTGTGTGCTGTATAATGGGGTGATTTGCATAATGGGCTATATTTGTAGGGTTTAAATTAATATGGGGGGGGATCTTATCTTACAACAATGACAGATTATTTCTTGAAGAAATGAAAGAAACTGATAGCTTATGGGCCAGTATTATGGACCAATAAAGAAGGTGATGATCTTTGTTGCACAATAATCAGATGAGAGACCTCTGTTGGTGGTACCCCATTAAGTACTTGTGCTGGGGATCCTCCCCACTGTAAACTGGACCTAGTGTACTGGACCTTTCTTCTGACCTGTGGTAGAGACTAGGTGACATTTTACCATCAGAGACGTATTACCATTATTGCCTTAATAATTTCTGGGGGGTTTAAGGGTGAATGTTTTATGGCGCCCCAATATTGCTTTCTGAACAGTAAAATAAGATTGATGACTGTAGCAAATGCATAATATATTCATGATGATCATCTTGTATTAATTTATCAGTTACAAAAAATCAGTTGAAAAATATACTGAAACAGTTCATAAATGTTAAAAATAATTTTTTTTATTGCAAAGTATTATATTTGTTAATGTTTTTCAGTGAATGAGTGAGTTTACTTTTACGCCACACTCAGCAATATTCCAGCTATATAGCGGCTGTCTGTGAATAGTCGAGTCTGGACCAGACAGTCCAGTGATCAACAGCATGAGCATCGATCTGTGCAATTGGGAACCGATGACATGTGTCAACCAAGTCAGATGTCATCGGTTCCCAATTGTGGAAATTAATGCTGTACAAATATTGCTAGTAGAATAATATTGATAACCTCAAAACGTGGCCATCACTTGGTATGGCTGATGAACCCATACTTAATGGCTTAGATAATGCATGTGTGGGATTGGTAGGAAATGGATTGTTTTTATGAATCCAGAGCAAGAATAATATTGTTATCTGCAGGTTGGCAAGATTGTGTGAGTTGTTAGAAGTAGGTTAGGTTAGGTCAGGTCATCAGAATCCACCATTTTTCAGCCTGGTTGTTTAACATGCATTTACAGACAATGACAGTCTGTATTCATGTCCCACATAACTCCCATTGTTAAGTCATTTCCATACAATTGACCAGAACTGCCTGGTGAACATCCAGCTTAGTCATGCTTGATGGAGGAGACGCCCACATGTCAGGATGCTGTGTGATTATGTAACATTACATGACCACGGGGCTCTCCGCAACATGCTGCCACCAAACCTTTGTTTCATTTTCGTGTTGTTTGGCTGGATTAATTGCTCTTGTAACATGTGAAAGTGCAGACCTTTCCCCGCCAAACTGAAAGCAAAACACATTGTCATGATGAATATTTTTACGGCACAAGCTATAACATTTATTGAAATGCTGGAATGCGAACCTTCTCCCAAATATCAGATAGCATCATGGTTTCATATACATCTTTTGAAAGAGTCTGTTTAATTTATGAATTGATGGTATTTTTGCTTGAATAAGATTCATTTAGAGAAATTGCCTTTAATGACATTCAAAGAGGCGACGACTTAAAAAGATCTTCTTGATTTGATGGTGTTGCGCTAAGAGGAATGTTTACCTACTCAGTAATTCAGAAAAGACAAGCCCTTATAACTGAGCGATTGACAGCATTTAAGATGTTATCTGTCCGCTTGGAGGCTGACTGTCTCCTGATGTTGGTAATGAAGACCTCTCTATCGGTGAATCTAAGCCTACCTGTATCCTGGCTGTTGATGGGCCATGACTGCACCGAGACATTGGGATGACGAGGTAACCCTGCCCTGCACTTTAATAAAGAAGACCACTGTATTGCCTTGTAATGCAGGATGGCTGCCTGCTTAAACACTTTGTATCTTGCTTTGAAAGTGATAAAACATTTTCGGCTATCTTCACTTTAGGTTTTAAAATATCCCAAATTACTAAGATTATTGTGTTTTGAAAAAAGATTTTCTGTTGGATCAGTTTCAAAGACATTGTTATTGATGTTTCTTTATGAATTAAGTAAATTATTTTGTTTGAATCATTCCCTGCTGTCTTTTATCATGTTTGGAGGTCAATTCTGACTATATATGATTTGTGAACTTTGTAATTTTCAGTAAACACAAACTCCCTTCCCTCAGCAGCTATCGACCAGTTATTGATTTTTTTCACTTGAATAATGTCTCTTATCTTCCAAGAAGTGTTCATGTTTGAAGTTTAGTTAGATACATTTTGTCTTTACATCATACAGTGACAAACCTATTGATGCTCTGTTGTTGAAATGTCAGCCATACTTGATGAAAGATGCAAATATTGTTTCTAAAAAATAGGTTTATCATGACAAAGAACTCAAAACTGGTATTCATTTGAAATCTTCTTCTGATCATCAAGGACCTCTGTAGTTTGAGGATTAATAGAATTATTTGAAAAAAATAGTACAAAATAAATAACACTTTGTACACATGTAGCAATTCGTTTTGAAGTTCTTTCTTTGCTGATTTTTACAATTCGCCACACATGTTCCTTTTCTGTGAAAAACTTTCCATCATAAGTCATCCTGGGTATTCCCACGAGGTAAATGTTGACAGAACATCATCAGTCTTTACTGCTAAGTGGACTGGAGGACAAGGGTTAAATGCGTACCTGCACGTTCTAGTGTCACGGCCGTGTCTGCGGTTTCACCTGTGTCGACTGTAAGGACAAACTTCAGAAATGACACCCGTTGTATTGTCCGTGTTCGCAGTCAGGCAGCTAGACATTCAGCTACGCCAGATACGCACGTTATCAAAAGGATCCACGCGAAGACTCTTCTCCCCATCGCCCTATGTATACATTTCCACTCTGCTCTCGTCTGCCTGTGGTATTAAGTCGTGTTTTGACTCCAACCAAATATTTCATGCTAAAAAATTGTAATAACACCTGCAAATATTTTATTTGAAATGGCATTTTTGAACTAAGGGGAAGTTCGTGCGATATTATTTGGTAAACATGATTGTGATTCATGGTGAATATTCAGAGCTTGAAATTGTAATGTTTTCTACAGCTGAAGCATGTTGCATTTTATACATTGACCATAGGGTGAATTGTGGTGTGTAATGTTGCTTGTCAATATTTGATGTTTGACATAGCAATTTACGCTTTCTGTTTTGTATGGTTTTAAAAATTAAAACTAAGCATGGAAAAAACACGAAAATGATGATCTACTCATTTCTGAGGAAATTATTTTATAGGTTTAAAAAATAAGCAAAAAATACTTGAATTAGTTTTTGGGTATTATCTTCATATCATTTCAAATGAATTGGAATATTGTTTTCGCGAAACCTATGATCATTACAGAATTGTATAATCTGTATATAAGTTACACAACTCTTGATCAGGAGTCATAGTTCAAGTTAGTTAAGGGGCTGTGGGGTAGCCTAGTGGTTAAAGCGTTGGTTGGTCACGCCGAAGACCCAGGTTCGATTCCCCACATGGGTACAATGTGTTAAGCCCATTTCTGGTGTCCCCTGCCGTGATATTGTTGGAATATTGCTAAAAGAGGCGTAAAACTAAACTCAGTCAGTCAAGTTAGTTAAAGTGAAGTTAAAGAGTGATCAGCTTCATTGGATTGTTTTTTTCAAGAACAGAATGCAGTGTATGTGAATGCCAAATTATTTATGTATATTTCAACGTGAAGTACTATGATGTTAAGAATGCTGTTTAGACAGTTTTATGGAAAGTATAATATTGTTTATGGATTTCCGTGTGAATGTTCCTCATTTAATTTCTATCAGAATGCTTAGTTACAGCAGCAGGTACTTTGTGATGTGTATAAAAGCCTGATTTACTGTGTAGTTTCCTTCTTTATTAGCAGCCATTTCATGGCTCATTTCGAGTAAATAAATCTCTGTAAACTAATAATAAGTCAGTTTGTGTTCATCTCTGTTTGATGTCTGCAGAAGAACAGAGTGGGTAATTCATCTTTTGTAAAGAAAGTGGAAGTCATCTTTTGTGAAAACAGTTTAAATCATCTTTTGTAAAGAAAGAGTAAGTCATCTTTTGTGAAGACTGTGTAAATCATCGTTTGTGAAAACAGTGTAAATCATCGTTTGTGAAGAGTGTAGATCATTTTTTTGTGAGGACAGTTTAAATGATTGTGAAGACAGTGTAAATCATCTTTTGTGAAGACAGTTTAAATAAGTTTAAATCGTCATTGTGAAGACAGTTTAAATCATCATTGTGAAAATAGTGTAAATCATCTTTTGTGAAGACAGTGGAAATCATCTTTTTTGAAGACAGTGTAAATCATCTTTTTCGAAGACAGTCTAAATCATCTTTTGTGAAGATAGTGTAAACCCTTGTTTATGTAAAGACACTTCTGTAATTTTTATTTTGTTATAATTAATATTTTAGAATACATGCAGAGCCCAGATTGGTTGGACTTAATATTTAAGAACCGAAACAGCGCAGGGTGAGCATTGAGGTGAGACTATGATTTCCTAATTAGATCACCATTGGAGCCTCATTCTGGTTCCGACTTGGTCAGCAATTCAAATATGACTACAAAGCAGTACAATATAAAAACAGTGTTAGATGCTGTTCCGCATTCATCTAACAGTGAAAGAATGCCTTTCATACAGGGCATTAATACAGGCCGTTGAACACAGACAATATATGTACAGTGGAATACCATCTACTTAAAACATAAAGCGACATGTATAGATCCTAGAAGCCAATCTAGACGTCAACATCAAATCCTGGTCCCCACCCTCTAATTTCTATAATTAAGCTCAGCTGGGAATCTCTGACATGGGTAACCCTCTTCTTTGATCATGTTCAAAATTTACTTTATTTAGTTACGTATGTGACATCAGAGTTTGTGAATGAGAACAATAGACTTGGAGGGGAAATTCCAGAGCCAAAGAGGCATAGCAGAGGCATAAAACACAACAAGTGGCATTGTTCGGCCCCGAATGGATATAGTTGTCATTCTTCCCTGATGACACAAGTCTACTCAGTCTCTCGACCTGCACACCCCACAAGGCTCAGACAGGTGAAGGTATGCCCCACAGCTTGTGTCTTGCCAGTCTGGTGAATGGAGTTAACTATACGCTTCAGTATACAAAACCTGTAGAAACACTCAATTACAGATACATGCCGAGATTGAAGCAATGTTTTGTTTGTGTGTTGTATTCATTACCGTAGAAATGATTCTTGTAGGACTATTCTGATATGCTAGTTATTTGTTGATGTCAGGTGGGTTAGAATCTGAGGGTAAATATTGATTTCTTTAAATACTATTTGTGCTGAATACTACCCTATTGTCCAATAAATGTGAGAACACGCTTTTGGCAGTTTTTGAGCACTGTTGCAGGAACTGACAATTGTAGAGATTGCAGTCTTTCGTCATAAATCATAAGGCCAATAGCGCTGAAATCAAGTGCTCATAACCGACATTCCTTTTTGGAGCACATTATCTGTAGCCCTGACCAAGTATTTGTACTGGTTGAAAGGTTATATCTAGCAAATTCTTAGAAGACAAAATATTAATCAAGAATCACACTGACCTGTGAAAAATTGGTCTTAGCAACCCATGCTTGTGGTAAGCGGCGACTAACGGGATTGGTTGGTCAGGCTCGCTGACTTGGTTGACACAACCGTAGATTGATGCTTATGCTGTTGAGCACTGGATTGTCTGGTCCAGGCTCAAGGTGAGAACACGCTTCTCAGCTGGGATATTGCTGTGTGAGGTGTTAAACATCAAACAAACAAACTAGGAATCAAGCTTTATTGGTCGTAGTACATTGGCTAAAATCAAAATTGGGCTTTGTAGTAAACTCCCAGTACGAAAACCCCTAGTCTGTCGTACAGACCCTGAAGCAAATATATCCAAGAAAGGCCACGCAAGTCTAGAAACTGTGGCAAGTCTGAAAATGAAGAAAGTCTCAAGGTTTGTTTTACTATGAACTTTTTTCAGTAAAATATGTTCATTTCAGAGACTAGTTGTTAGTCTAGAAAACCCCTCTAGGATCCGAGGACTCCCATAAATTTATCACTCGTTAAAGACAGGAACATAACATCTCAGCGACCCATGCACTCCGAATTTATCATTGCTTAACATCCTGAGCTATAACCCCTCAAGGTGCCGAGGAAGTCTATTTTTTATTAACTGGTTACAGACATGATAAGGAGTAGTAGCTTTTCTGCCATGGATTCCATGTAAACGAAGGACAACCTATTCTGTTTACCTGCAACTTCCAGTGTAGCATGATGATCATGACTACCAAGCATGCTTGATGTCAGGCAAGCATGTCTATGATGCTTGATGTTTCTGTAAAGTAGCAGACATCTTGTCTTGACTATGTAGCCGAAGAAAAGATGACATTAAAATGCATAACATTGGTGACTATGCATCGGCAAGCATTGGAGCAGGAACAGGTTTCAAACACAGCGCCAGTAGGTCGCCATTTCCAGTCAGGCTTTGTACCTCATGTGCCATCAAATACAATTTATCAGCTCACAGATAATATATTGAATTATGTAAGCTTTTTGGGAACATCATTACACCAGTCGCATTTTTATCAGTCATGTGTGGGATAAATCATGTGTAGTCATCAAAGGTGTTGTCATGCTCCATGAAGCCTGTCAGTCCTAGCCTCATGTTGCTGTTTCGTAGGAAGCCATCTTGGCACCAGAACTACCAACATGTAACATATACTCAGCACTAACACCATGCATGATGTACCTCTGAAACAACATTTTCAGAATGTCTTACCAAATTGGACCCTGTCTAGTTAAGCCACTCCAGTGTAATAAGACGTTAGCTAGGCAACATGCTTGAGAAGAAAGGAACAACTGCCATGTTCGAATGAGTAGCTATTTTGCATATAGCGTTCAGTCAAAAGCCTCAGTGATGAGGTATTTGAAGTTGCAAGTAGAACTACAGGTGCCAAACTTTAAAGTAGATTTTACTGCTTTAAAGAAATAAGTTACACTGGGAGGTTGTTTATTATCATTTGTACAGTTAGACATCCTATTTTCACAAACTCAAAACTTTTGATTTAACTTGAAAATACATGGAGAATCCATTCGGCTTGGTTCCAATTCCTTATCTGGAATTCTTGAATGCTTTCACATATTTTTGCAAACCTTCCCTCAACTCAATTTTGAGTGTCTGTTGCAAATGATATTGTAAGCATAAGATCACTGGATTCTCTGGTCCAGACTTAATTATTTGCAGATTGCCATCATATAGCTAGATTTTTGCAGAGTGCAATGTTAAACTAAAAAAACCAAAACAACAAATTCATGGAAGCACCGGGTAGAGTTTCTGAAGTCAAACAACCCTCAACCCCCCATCCCCACCCCCACCCTCGGCTTGTGTATCCTGGGGACAGGCGAGGATTAAAGACTCACATGGGAACCTTACCACTGATACACCTAATTTGAATTCAATTAGCTGACCATGGCTAGTTGCTTTGTTGTATTCAGTTTACGTGCTACATTGGCCTTTGATGATGTCTCATAAAGTGACTTTCATGGCCAACTTTGTTAACTATTCCTGTGACAGATTGAACACGGTGTTCCATACAGTCCCACAGAGGTGTGTGTAGTTGTGTATGGAAATCTATTAAGGTAGTCTGGACTGGGATGTCAAACAGAGTTCATGGTTTATTGTGACTTGCTGGCTGGAGGAAGGGTCAGCCTCGCTTCTTTGTCAACACTACCTTGTTTGTAAAGCCTGGAATTTCCATAGAAATTTATCTTGAGCTGTCTTGGGTACATTTCAGGAAATATTTATGTGTCTGCGGGAAGTATCCTATGGAGATTTCAGTTACTGTGAAAAGTATGTTTATGTTTCGTGGATTAAT